TAGTCGACTATCAAAATAATCGTTTGTGGCAGCCCTAATTACAAAGCATTAGTGTTCTCTTTAACAACATCGCACCTGCTGTGTAGACTGGATTTAAAAATGTAATCTCACTAGTGACTAATGTAACTAAATTAAATGTAGTCCAAATACAAATGCATGAAGTAACCAACAGAACTTGATTCTTTCGGTTCTCCTTGTGTCAGCGTGTTCCTGCTCTTCGCTGCAGCTTGGTATCGTTGAGTTTTCTTACACTCAGCAGCACCGTGTCCCTCGCCATGTTAACAGATTAGCCTGTCAGAACAAAGTTACTGATTTTTCTTCAAAGCAGAGAAACATTTTTCACACTGAACGTAAGTGGAGCTGATGGGAAATCAGTCTGACAACGTTGATCTGAAGCTAATATGAGACTACGCAGGTCTCAGTGTGGCAAATAAAGCAGACAGCTCCTCAACTTTCCTCTTTCAGCTGTGAAGGAAGAACAACAGGAACTGTATGAAAATACCAGGCATGCAGAGATTATGATCAGAGCTGCATGCACACAGAGCCCTGCAGGGATATTTGTAGCTGTCGCTCAGCTGGGTGACACTTGTGTGAACATCACGCAGAGTATATGTTGATGTTTTACAGTAAGTAAAAAGGTTCGCTGAACTTCTGCGTTGCCGTTTTAAATCCACGACGGTGATTCTGAACATTTGTTTTGTCAGCGTGATTCATACCAGAAACAGATGCGAGGACTCTCCTCCGAAGGGCGGCAGCAGGGAGGACAGCGCTGACGAGGGCAGGAAGGACCCGCCGGAGCTGGAGAAGGTGGCGGCGCTGCGGTAGTCACCAAAGGTTTCTGGGTAGTAGCTGTCTATGAGCGAGGAGTAGCTGCTCATGGTGGAGGGCTCACAGCCTAGAGGCTTACCCCCGAGGGTGGAGGAATAGACATCGGGGGAGAACTGCTTGGTGGATGGGCAGAAATCTGAGTCAGAGATGAAGGAACGTCCTCTTATGCCGTAGTAGCTGGGCAGCATGTGGGCACCTGAGGTGGAGAAGCAGAAATGCCTTCATCATTATCATCAATGACTCTAACACCCCGCTCTGTCTCAGTGGGCAGACTCGGGCTCACCTGGCATCTGGACGAATGACGGTGGAGTGGTTGATCCTCCCTGTGGAAACAGAGACAGCACAGGTCTTACTCATATATGAATTATGGAGTTCCACTGATACTCGTCTCATTTGTTGAAAACGATCCCTGTGGTCTAACAGTAACACTGTTACAATAACACTTTGATCTCAGAAGCAAATGTTGTTGTTTATAAACAGATGTTTGTTGGCCCTAAAACATATCAGCTGACAACAAAACAAACCCAGACGTGTCACGGGACGATGAATGAACATCATCCTACAACACAAATGTGTATCTGGTCTTGGTTTTCTCTGGGCGATTGCTCAGATCAGCCTCGTGTGAATTTGCAGCTGCACCAAAACCACATAAATGCTTCTATTTATAACCGTCTCCACGTGATGTGTAAGATGCAGCAAGGAGCCTGAGAAAGACGCAGGACGTCATGTTTGCAGGGATCAGTCACTGGCTTAATGTCTGTCAGCCAGGGCAGCTGTGGCTACAGCTGTAGCTGCCTGCAGCAGTGTGTGAATGTGAGAGTGAATGGGTGGATGACTGGGTGGATGACTGGGTGTGTAAAGCACTTTGGGGTCCTTAGGGGGGACTAGTAAAAGCGCTATACAAATACAGGCCATTTACCATTAATGTTTAAGCCCTCACTGTGAGCCTGAGTCAATAACTGCTCTTCAACAGGGAAACGGCCTCTTGAGTTCGTACAGATACAAATAACACAGAAAGTGTCAGCAGCACAGTGAGGCAGGAAGCAGCAGCAAAGCTACAATAATGGACGGCAACTCATGAAAATAAGTCAAAGACACCAATGTCACAGAGCACCTTCCTCAAATTTAAACTCCAAACAAATCTCACTCTCATTATTCCGACAGACAGACCTTTACTTTTAGTTTGACCTAACTGTGGTGTTACCAGCACGAAACATGTTAATGTCTTTATCCTGTCTTCCTTCTCTCACCCCAACCAATCACAGCAGATGGCCCCGCCCCTCCCTGAGCCTGGTTCTGCCGGAGGTTTCTTCCTGTTAAAAGGGAGTTTTTCCTTCCCACTGTCGCCAAAGTGCTGCTCATAGGGGCTCATATGATTGTTGGGTTTTTCTCTGTATCTATGAAGCGCCTTGAGGCGACTTTTGTTGTGATTTGGCGCTATATAAATAAATTGAATTGAATTGAATTAACAGCCCCTTTCATCCATAACCCAGAGTGTAGTTTGTGTTCCCGCCTTTGTCCAAAACTCAGAGTTAGGCTCAGATCGGCCAAAAAGTCGTTTTTATTATAGACGAAACCTTTGAGGGAGCAAAATAAGAATCGTAAGAATCAGCAAAGCTGCAAACGCAGTAAGATCTCTTACTCGCTGTGTAGCATTAGAGGACTCACATACTGCTGGTCATTGACCACAGTTAGAGCACTAATGTGAAATATTACACAAGTGTTTATCTGACGGGATTTTAGAGTCCCGCTGCTGATGGAACTGCATCACTGGTATCCAGTTTCACCACTATGACGCGGCCCTGTTTGCTGTGTCGTCTTTGGTACGCTCGTCACCGGAGGCTCAGAAGAACCCGGCTGCCTTTGGATGTTGTTGACCACACAGCACTGCCATTTGTCTCTGCTCTAAAAGCAGACGCAGATTCGTGTCAGAGAGTCGCAGGGACAGAGGACAAGGTTTGACGGGATCTCTGGTTTGCATATTGCTAACATGAAAGAGTTGATATTAAGCCCATGTCGGCTGGGACGCACGCAAATGTTGAGGGTTAAATTTGAATGTGATTTGCCAGTGCCAAGACTTCCTCATGTGGCCCAGGTATGGCTCAGTGCATCTCTGAAGGCTGCCTATGGAAATCAGCTCGCTCAAGCTCGCACAGTCAGCTCGTGTGCGTATGTGTGCCGTGGCGTGGACTAACGATAGATTTATTTAGCTTTGTTTCGCAGAAAAGCTCTTCCTTCCTATGCAAAATATGTTACACAATGATATTTTTAAAAGAGCCCATTTCATATTTTTAAAATTGAACACGCACAACTGTTTTGTGTAAATTTTCCTACTTTGAACAGAAACTTGATCCATATTCCTTCCTGGCTCATTGTTTGCTTTTTATGTTGCTGTGTTGTAGGATCTCCTGCATGTTGTTCGTGCAAAACACACAAAGAGTGAGTTTGTGTTGTTTGTTAGCATCAGCGCTTTCGCCCCGGTACACGTCGCGATGTCTCTTCAGCATCATGTCGCACTTTGATTTGTTCCCAGGCTCATTTATGTAACAGCAACGTGTCTGGACACGACAGAACATGTCAGAAAAGAGAAGCTGCTGACGTGAAACGCTGTGAGAGCTTTATCGTTTCTGTCTGCCAACATGAGGAGACTGTGGTCAGAGTTTGCTCTCATCTTTCAATGGCCTTTTATTCCCAGGTAAAAGGCAGCGCAAGCCAACACAAGGACGGGAATGGCTTTAGTTACTGTGCCTCTGTGCGTTATTAGCTCTACAGCCATCATTTATAAACACACACTGAAAGCAAACCTGCAGACAATGGCCTGTCATGCTGCCTCCATGCTGTATTCTTTTGGCCCAATGACTGCATAATACCACATTTGACCATGAAAACAGACGCCAAGGTAGCAACTAAGATTCTTTTACACGCCTCGTTGTCTCCAAAGGAGACTATTGTTTGACAGGCTGCGGTATATTGTACATGCTAACATAACGTAACAATAAGCTAAAGAGTCCACAGTTAAATAAAGTTTGTGGGATTAAAGGCCAACTGCTCCCCAAACAACTGTTTCTCAGGGACTACACACTGACCACGTCCTGAGCCGGCAGCTAGCCAAAGGTAATGGAAGGACCAATACTTTAATAACCAAGTATTAAAATTCATAAATGAGTCAGGTTTGAGAAAAAAGCTTAAATCGAACATGGACAGGCGATTTGGAGCGCTAAGGCTAACAGATACATATTGTAACAAAAAGTAGCCAAACGTCAGTTTGAAGAGACGACATGCGTGTGGAGATGTGGTGGATTGTTGGTTATCTGAAGAACGGTTGCTCAGCTGTGTTAAACGAAACAAAGGTGTGTTGAACGTTTTCCCATCAGACAACTTATGTTTGAAATGATTTATTACCATCATCATCAGAGTCTGGGACTTTCAAGGAAGTCATAAAACTCTCCACAAGTTTGCTATTGTGCATATAAGTGATGAGTAAATGTGGCCTACGGGTGGATGCTGGAGTGGCTGTGAGAGTGGGGCAGCTTAAAGACGAGAACGAAGAGCGTGTGATAGACGTGAGCAGAGCGAGCCATGTTACACGTGTGTGACGTGCACGGCTCACGGCGCCTGCCGGCTTTGCTCGATTCAGTTTGTAATATCAAAAACGTGAAAATGCTGACGGACTGAAAAAACAACTGGAGTGATGCCACAGGTGTTAGCTTGTTATTCAAATTTAAGGGAAGTAATAAAAGCAAGAAGACAGCTTCTGGAGCTCCCGTCGACTCACCGAGCCCCGACAAAAGCAGACAGTCACATGTGAACCTGTGGAGTCACACAGCCTGGATGTGGAGCTCGTTAAATGAAGGTCGTCTGTTTCTGAGACGATCTCGCAGAGCTGCTCTTCACCACTTTTTAATCTTTGATTTGTTTTGATGACTTTGTTCGCATTTTCAGTTTTGGTTCAAAATTAGTTGACGTTAAATAAAATCCAGACTATTCCTCGCCTGCTTCTGCTGTCACAGGACGTTTGCAACACGATCTAAACAGCATCTCGGCTGATTAAGACTCAATAGTTCTGTTGGTTTCTTGTTGTTGTTAAAGACCTGTCCTTTAGCATCAAATGAAGCTAAACTTTTAATCTTCTATGGCAGCTCTGCCTCCACACAAAGAGTTTAAGAACCAGCGACAGAGTGAATCTGTGATAATGTCAGCCTACGTGAGAGGAATTTACCCCCACACACAAAAGTACACCTGTGCCAAAAATGTCATAATGAGCACCGCACTGGAGGAGGAAACGTCTGCTGGCATCTTCTAATGTTGTCTGACATAATTCCTCCATTGCTCGAGCCATCAGCGAGTCCATGGCGTGGACGTGCCAGCACAGAAAACAAACAGTGTCCTGTAAAAGCCTTTTGACAGGCGGTTTTGTGGAAAATAAAAAGGCAGTGTTGCGTGTGCGAGCAGGCGTCTAAAGCACAGCCTGATTTCTGTGTGTGTGAGAAAGTGTGTGTCTGACACAACAATAGGAGGTTTGTCTGTGGCCTGATCACGGCGCAGGACAATATCGGCTGGCAGGTGTGCACGGATCAAACTTTGCATAGGCAGTCTCCTGCACGGGCCCTTTCTTCTGTTTCTCTGCACTACCTGTCCACCTCAAATCCCCCCACCCCGCCTCCACCTCTTTGTGGACTTATTTGGGAGATCATGGCCTGCAGCGCTGCAGGCATTGTATTAGCGCTCCTTTGTGAGGTTAGGATGAGTTTTTGTGCTCCGTGTCTCTTTCTACACGCACAGTGCTCGGCTATTTACAGAATGGCTTTGCAAGCGAGGTACAGGTGGTCAAAGGATCCACCGTGGATCGTTAGCACACAAAACGAGCCTCAATGTAAACAAGAGGAGGAGTTTTTTTGTTTTAGAAAACCTCCCGGTCGCTATGAGAACGTCAGCTGTGCCGTTTGGCGTGATAGAGGAAAATAAAGCAGGGAGAGACAGTGGTGCTCACGCTGTATCTGGGTCCGCTCGTCTGCCGCGACCTCTTCTCTGCCAGCAGGTCTTTGACCGTGTGCTTCACTCGGACGCCCTGGTACACTCTCTTAGAATATTCTGCAGACAGACACAGACATGAGTGATGCAGCTCAACTTGTAACACAACGTCACACAAATTTTCATCCATCGCCACAAATGTGTGGTCATTTGAATGCTTCACAGTTTTATGCATATAGGCGAATGACTCTTTGGGATTGGTGTGTAAATGTCATGGAAATCGCCTTTGGTGTGGTCAATGCAAATGGACTTCTAAAAAAGGCAATTAACTACAAACTCTTGCCAAAACCTCACCATAAGCAAACACTCCAGAGGGCTGAGGTGGTGCTGAGGAACGACTACGCTGCAAAGAAACGCCACGACTGAATAGGCCGGCGATGCCAGCGAGCATCATGGCGGCACATCGTGTCATATATTAAATAGTCCTCTACAAATCTCACGTGTGTGTTGGTGTGATTTGGTCACATTCCTGGGAAGCAGAGGTAGAAACTCAATGAAAATGCAAACTTTACTATGCAAACGGAAATTGCATGCAAAAATCTTTATGTAAAGGACCCCAGCTTTTTGAATGGATCCTTTAGATAAGGCCCAACTGTGCACAAACGTGAGATTCTTGAAAATATCAACTCTTCTCTGGAGGACGTTGTTTTTTCCTTTTAGAAACGACCTTAAACGTTCAGAAATGACCTCCTCGTGTCAACATCTGTGAGTTTTCTTAAAACTAGACGTTTAGTCCTCACTGATACATGTCACACACGAGCAGCTTCATCAATATCAGCACAGGAAACTTTTTGGAGAAACTTTCCCACTACACTCAAATAAAAGCCTCCCTCACGATCTCACACAAAACCAGACAAACCCTTAAAAATCCCGACACTGTAAAAGTAAAACCAAACATTTTTCAATATTTCCATTATGTATAAAACAGCATAATAAGAGCACACTTACCTGTGTCCATGATGCTGTTGATGCACACACACACAGGCCTTTCTTTCTCCCCCTGCTGTATTTGCCTGTAGTAGCTAGATCCAGGAGTGCAGCACCATACTGAGTGGCGTGCTGCAATAGGAGCTTTAATCAGGCTGTGAGGAGGGCAGGGACACAGGGAACATGCCACCTCACACTGCAACCATGAGGAGGCAGCTTTTCAAAATGACCTTTATCTATTTGTTTAAATGCAAATGTTTGGTGGGGACGTTTTTTAGACTATTTGCATCTGCAGTCAAGATTAGGGGCAGGAAGCATCAGGAGCATGGGAGTGAGAGAGGCTGCAGCTCCGTCGCTCCTCCCCTCAGCCATTTGTCATCAGGTCCAGAGGATACGTTGTTTCCATGTTTTCTTTTTGCTGCTCTTCATTTCTAGCTGCAGGTGTTTGATGCAATCCTGCGATTGGAAGATTAACATGTCCACCTGCTGATAAATGGTTGGAGACAAATAACTGAAAAATAATGACACCTTTGTGTGAAGCCTTCACTGTGTTTGTATGAAACCCTGACTAGACCAGACCTGGAGTTTAAAAAGAGGAGGACACCTTCTCTGCTCTGCTAAACGTTTCGTGTCTGCCGTATGATTGGGACGCTGACACTTCATTACTTTTGCCCATACTGTGTGATGTTTACAGGATAAACCTGGTTACATTTGATGTGCATGACTTCATAATCACACAGACACCAGTCAGATAAACTAGCTAAACATTAAAGTGGCTCAACTTCTGCCAGCTTGGATTTGCATGCAGTCCTCAGGTGGACACTCAGAGACACCAGCGCTGCGTCTGAGTGTTCACTGTTTGATACCTGACACAGTAAAGGTTTCTGGATGCACAGGTCTCACACACAGTGTGGTGACAGCAGCTGTACTTGGTGCCCTTAAAGCTCCAGTATTATCCAACAAAGGCTATGATGCTGCTTTAGCCTGTTCTGTGGTGGAGCCGGTCTCTGTTCACAGGTAAAGAACACCTGACCACAACGTTATAATAAAGCTTATACAAGTCCAAGAGGAGCAGCTTCGAAAAGGTCTTTGTTGGTCTAACAAAAGACTCTGCTAAACGTTGTACAGATCCATTTAAATGCTTACATCACTTTCTAATCATTGCAGCCCCCCCCACCCCCACCCCGGGTGTAAGAAAGAAAAATGTCAAGTAAGACTTGTAGACTTGTGAAAGACCTGCAGTACTTCAGCTGAGTGTTCTGGTAAATATAACATGACTGGAGCCACATTCTGCACACAATAATACCAACGTTAGCCACACTAAGCAAACGCACACTGTCCACTGTTCTGCACAGCACAAAGTGCCCGACATTAACCTCCTAGGACCTGCGTCCACATCACATTTTGGGTTATTTAGACCAAAATACTAAATTTTGCTCTACATGGGCCTGATGTCCACCTACGAGGACATTATCCTGCTACTGTTCTATCAAAGTTTAAACGAATATCCTCATATGTGGCTCTGATTTTTCTTAAAAACAAAAATAAGGAAAAAAAACTGGTAATTCTTTGTTTTTACATTCATCGGGCCCCAATGTGACCAAATACCAAAGAGATATTAAAAATGCTGCTGTGGAAGAGTTCAGGTCTTAGGAGGTTAAAGCAACATTTCAAACATGTAAAGCTTCTCTCATTGCCTGAGGATTTCAAATTTGCATTTGTACTGACAGTGGTTTAGTTTTCCATTAGATTCAGCTCAGTTTTGACTGAAACTTGTTACTTTTACAACTTTTCCACCTGTTTCATTAAAAGACAGCTGGAGTTGCCTCGCTCTCGCTCTGCAGGCCTACTTGTTGTTCCTAGAGTATTTAAAAGTAGAATGGGAGGCAGAGCCTTCAGTTTTCAGGCCCCTCTTCTGTGGAACCAGCTTCCAGTTTGGATTCAGGAGACAGACACTATCTCTACTTTTAAGATTAGGCTTCAAACTTTCCTTTTTGCTAAAGCATATAGTTAGGGCTGGACCAGGTGACCCTGAATCCTCCCTTAGTTATGCTGCAATTGAAAGACAACTACTCTTTCAAGGATTTTTGATATGAAAGGAAGGTCACTTCTTTAGTTATTAGCTGATCTGTGTCCTGTTGAAAAGTATGTATGGTTACAACAGTCTATTAGTAAAAACAGTCGGAGGATTTAAATTGTTTTTGTAGGACTGTCAATGCTTAAAGGAGTAAACACTGCTCACCAGTGCTAAAAGGTAAATTATAGTTTGAATAGCAGATGGGTGGGGCTTTCACAGCAACCATTGTACAGGACATAATGACACAACAAGAACAACAGTAATTCCCTTTAAAGCCAAAACCCCCCAAAATTTAAAAAGTTTGGTTTTGTCTCATCATAGTGAGACATAAATAATTCACTCAAGTTCATGTCTTTCTTCTTTTCTACATCTTATATATCAAACCTGTGGTGTTCTGTCAGGGCAAGCAAGGAAAGCAGTGCTTGCTTAGCGAAATCTTAAAAAACTCCCTTGCTATCTCATTCTGTGGTTTCTCTCATTAGCTGCTTGCAAACAACCTTTAAATTACTGCATCGTGTCACTGCAGCTGATCAGCGTCTGTGGAAGCAGGCTCTGCACTGAAAGCTGGGCTAGCATCCCAACGGTGCCGTCGGCAATTACTTGATGTTCTCAAGCTGAGAGGTTAGCACCTTTTTGCATTGTGGGCACACGTCTGGTGTTTGATAGGAACAGACTAGCATGCTATATAAACGGCCACTGGCTCTGCTTTCACTGCTCTGACATCGCTGCACATCTGTGGAAACAGAGATAGCATTAGCAAGTAAATGTGATCGATCACCCTAACAGGTACATTTTGTCTTACTTACCATCTTGACCAATATGTGTGATGTAGTATGAAGACACATGTAAGAACTCCTTTAAGACAAGAAAAGAAAGCCAGGTCTGGTTTCATAACACATCCCAGTGCGGTGCAGGTGCAGGTCCATACATGATGTATGAAGCACAACCATTTAAAAAATAAAAACTCAAGGTCTAGGTCTGTGCCCATCTCTGAAACACTGAAGCGATGTTTCAGAGATGCAGTGTTTTCAGTCTCTAAACTCTTACTTTTAATTACAAAATGATACATTTTAGTCCCAGCTATAAATATCTGTAAAGTAACAAATAACAACTTATTAACGATTAGCTGCAGCAGTAAAAATGTGGAAGCACACGTGAGCAGCCACACGGCCCCAGACGCATGAAGGGCGTCTCTGACATGTTGCGGGATCATTTTGCATCTCTTTCTGCAGCAGCTTGCAGGTTTACTGTAACTGCTGTTGACTGAAAACTGCACCTATTATTTTGCCTCCACGAGAGACAGCCTACTATTGATATACAGGAAGACTAGCCTGAACTACACGTACTTGTTTCTGTAAAAGGTAGAATTGTTTTACCAATGACTCACTCTGCACAGGTACTCTGCATGCAGGTGTGTGATGTCAGCATTACCACGGAACTTAAACCATTTAGATGATAAATTTAAATTTCAAAGTGGATCAGGCTCACTGCAAACGACATTTAAGCACGACATCCAATATACTGTACATATTGTATATCATGGGAAATGGTTTTCACTGGAACAGGCGAGAGGAGAGGAGAGTCAACACTTTCCATATTAACACAGTGGCTTTGAATCGAGCCCAGCACCTACAGAGAATTTTGAGAGCAGACTTCCTCGTCAATAGGAGCATTGTAGTTGCCTGTGTTTTTGTGGCACAGCAATGCTATGTGCACTCACTGCTACATGGAGTTTTTATCAGTTAATGACTCAGAGATAAGAGCGATGTAAAGCTCTCCTCTGCAACGGACATCTGGGGCTGAAGAGGAAGGAAAACATCCAACTGCACTGTGCCTGCAGCTTCAGTCTTCCTGTTCAAATGTGTCTTTATTTCGAAATATTCTCTTTGTGCAGTCAATCAAACACAGCAATCCGACTAATCTGGCTTTTGCATTTGATATTATAAACAAGTTTCTCTGTGAGCTCTTTTCCTAGGAAATTCCTCTGATGAACACTAATCGATTTATCTCCAGTAAACTATCTGCACACAGACACAATAACTGACAACTACATTGGAAATACGGTTGAAACTCTAAGAAGGGAAACAAACGCAACAGCGTACCTTGTAACAGCTCTGAGGCAGTCTGGGTATGTGGGGAAGTTTGCAGCAATAGCAAATGTTTTAGAGCTAACCCAAACTGCAGAGTGGAGTGAGCTGCAAAGGTACCTAAGGCAGCGGACGCACAAAAAACACAACATTTATCAAAACAGGGTTTAAAAGACTCATCACCACCACATTTGTATGTCTACATCAGGGTATACAATCAACACCACTACAAAAAGTCGTCACTTCCATGACCTGCAGGAGCCAACACAGCCACCATCTGCCACTAACACAGAAGAGAAGTGTTTTCATCATCATCAGCAGACACCTGTGCACCAGCTTTGCAAGCACAACTGCACGACAACTGATGATGCAGCCAGTCTGAGAGGATGGAAGCACCCAGATCCAGACTATAAGACATTTATCGTCCTGACAACGATATAAATCACAAAAATGTAACATTTTCTGTAGATTCTGTGAATCTCGGGCAGCTCGACTTGCGTGAAGTGTTCCCAGCTGGGCGTCCTTTACCTGGAGTCCAGTGTTTTAACCAATGCATGAAACTATACATTTTTAGACATAAGTTGTAACGGCCGCCGTTTTCTTTCAAAGTTTGAGTCTATGGTTTATCTTTAAGCACCTGACGGCTCTTTTTTGCTTCTCATCCGTGAACTCTCTGCATACTCTTTCACGTGATTATTTATTTTGAAAAGTCTCAACAGGATCTTGAGCTTCATTGTGAAAGGTTTACATGGGAAACCAAACAAGCGGACAGCGATGGTGTTACCGTCATTGTTGCAAATGACAACACATAAAAACAGGCGCTTGTCCGTCCGTAGTGTGGTTATATTAAATATAAGAGAAAGAGAGAACTTAAGAAATTAATATAGCCACTACAGTGACCATCAGAACGGTGAACATATTGCTGTAAACAGTTTATTTTACTATTTAGTGTGTGAATGTGTGTGTGAA